AACTTCTTGCTTAGTTTATTGCATTTTGTGAGTACATTTCTAAAGTACAAGCAAAATCTGACAGAGCATCATGAAAATGCTTGAAGCATGATGTGATCCACAAGCATTAGAGATGTATGAAATGGTTGCCCTTGGATCAAGTGTCACTGTGCTAACTGGCTTGACTGCAGTTAGTCTCCTTTTCCTACTGCAAGGCATTTAGCAGAGCTTCTAAATGTGACTTGCTGTACCACATCCTTTTCGAGGATTTAAATCAAAATAAGTATGTATAGTTAATTCATCCCTGGAGAGGTATATCACAGTCCTTTTATGTGGCTACAGGATAAGGCTTACCTGTAGGAAGGTTTACTTAAATCTTGGATCTGATATCCACTCTTTGACTTAAACTGTTTTACTCCTTTTAAGTATGCTGTGTGATCATAGTGAAATTCAGCTAAATCACAGAATAGCTTAAGTTGGAAGGGACATCAAAAATCACCCTGTTCCAATCCTCTGCCATGGGCAGGGCTGCCACTCATCAGCTCAGGCTGCCCAGGGCCCCATCCAACCTGGCATTGAGTGCCTCCAGGGATGGGGCACCACAGCTTCTCTGCGCAGCTCTGCCAGCGCCTCACCGCCTCTGATTCAAGAATTATCCTCCTTACATTTAATCTAAATCTTCCACTTTATGAAGGTGAGATTCAAGTCAGGGAACAATATATTGGTGGATAGGAAAAAACACATTGTTCAATCTTATCTCTTTCTTTTACACTCATAAGCTATGGCTAGGAATGGCCAGTCCGTAGCGATGTGCCTTGTGCAAGTGCATTTGGGCCAGATCGTGATTTCCCTGCTCGCCATTCTTCTCAACACATCTCAGTGCCTTTTACAATTCTGTTTTTTGAGAGTACAGTTTCAGTTGTTTTATTGTGTTGTCAGCTGGTGTCTAGTACAGTGTGATCGATTATAAGAGCAGAGTCTACATGTTACAATAAGTGGTAGCTGCTGGCTACTGAATCAAAGGGTAAAAGGGTGCGAGAGTTCAGTGACAGCTGTTCCTCTGCTTGTGTTTTGGGGGAAATAACAGACTTAGACACTCTAAGTAGAGGTTCTGGGTGGAAACTTCAGCCAGACAGGTGCAGCTTTAGAGTTGTGGGGTGGGATGTGGGTGTGGGGAATGGGATGTGACTTTGTGGTGTGCTTCCCACTGTTACTGATGGAGTGTAGAGTTTCTTGAACCCTTTCCTGAAGTATTCAACTTCCTGTGGTTTGGAGAAGAAAATTGTTTTCTTGGATTTTGCTAACAGAACATAAACATCATAAAGCAACAACCCAAAAGATGTTGCTAACAAATTGCAAGGCTTGCTTTTCATGCAGGATATTTTGAGAGAGTTCATTTTGAGATGGGCTGTATTAGAGGCTCATCAGAAGCATTATTTTAGAATCATCAGTTACTTTTATGGATACAAGATTCTTCAAAGAATCCTTGGGAAATTTTTTCTGAGGAAGAAAGTGCTGAGTGTTAAAATATTTTTAACAAAATAGCAAAAGCAAATCAGGTTGTAAGTTAGCTACTTGCAAGAAATTATATGAAGATTTTTCAAGTGAAGGAACAAATTTAAATTAGATGACAAAACTGCTCAGGAACTAATTTCATTTTTGAATACACAGTGTAACTGAGGACTTGAGAAATGTTAGTTTCCAAGTGAAGACACCAGAAGTTAAGCTCTGCCTCTTGCTTGGATTGCCATGGTAACTTAGATGCAATTTGTCCTCTGTCACAGAAGAATCCCAACTGCGCAAGGGTAAACTGAGTAACAGGTAGTAGCTCGCAAGTATATGATCAGAGAAATGGGCAGATGTCTTATATTGATAACATTCAAATTATTGTTTTCTACCTGTGTTTTCTTCGAAATTCAGATCTTTTGCTTCTTCAGTCAGGGTATAATATGGACTCTTGCTCTGCTGTGGCCTCTCAGAAAAGAAATGTCTTTTGACTGACAAATAATTGAGAAAGCACTCAAATATATTCTGCCAGCAAGAAATAAAAGGATAGCACCTCTGTCCTGGATGTAAAATGCATTCATGATAAGAGCATGAAAACTTGAGTGCTAGATGAACAGGTATTAATATGTAAAGATAAACACAGGTCATAATAATCTCAGATAAACTCTGAAAGGCATCAGTAAAGCTAGGGACAGAATTCAAAGAGGACAGAAATAAAAAATACTGCCCATGAGATTTCTCCTTTTAGGAGACTGGTCTCTTGTACTAGATAATGCACACTATGTATCTCCAAATAGTGTAGGTAGCTACTTTTTTGAATTTAAGATCTGAGGGTAATAATGATACTACTTCTAAGATGCAACTGTCTATATTATGCTTCACTATGGAACTTGTATCCAGTCTAATTGATAAAGGTTTTGTCAGCAAAAAATCATCTTCTGTACAAACAATCACTCAGAGCACTGCTGGAAAAATTCAGTCTGCCATAACGTATCACTGGATCTACTGTTCTGATTGCATGAGGAATGTGTTACCTGCATGGATTACTCAATCACTATTCAAAGGCCAGCCCCTTGTTATCGTTGCCTTGTCACAATTTTTTTGTATAGTTTCAGTGGGTTGCTGCTGTCATCCCAGAAACTATGTCTAGGGGCAGCTGGAAATGAGAAGAAAGCAATTCATTTGATGAACATATCTTGATTTTCATCAGTGAGGCTGGCTATTTTCTATACAACAGAGCACACTCAATCTTTTCAATAACTTAGAGGAGGGAAGACAAAAGGGACAAAGGAGAGTATCATCTTAGTTAACGATGTAATCAGAGGAAGCTAGAAAACTGCTTGGACAAAAACATGGAGGCAAACTATTTGGGCTGCGACAAAAGAAATCACTTTACTCTAGAGAATCACCTGCACCAAGAAACTTTTCTCTGGAATGTGGTACTACTACTCATTCCCATAAACTTCTAATACTAAATGCCAAGTTAAGCCATACTACAAAGTTTGTTTTCCATTCACAGAATCACAGAATCGCAAGGGTTAAAAGGGACCTCAAGAGATCATCAAGTGCACCCCCCTGCTAAAGCAGTTACCCTACAATATGCTGCAAAGGTAGGCATCCAGGCAGGTCTTGAGTATCTCCATAGAAGGAGACTCCACAACCTCTCTGGGCATCCTATTCCAGAGCTCCGTAACCTTTACCATTAAGAAGTTCTTCCACATGTTACATGGAACCTCCTATGTTCAAGTTTTAGGCAATTATTCCTTGTCCTGTTGCTATGCACCAGCAAGAAAAGCCTGGCCTCATCCATTTGCCTCCCACCTGTCTTTGGATATTTACATTATCAGATCCCCCTCTCAGTCTTCCTTTCTCCAAGCTTAGAGACCCAGGTTACTCAGCCTTTCCTCATTATATATATATATATATATTATATAATTATATTATATATTATATACATATAATATATATATTTCCTCATTCTGCAGGCACTTAATCATCTTCATGGTCCACCACTGGATTCTTACTAGGAGGTCCCTGTTTGTCTTGAGCAGGGGGAAACAGAACTGGATACAGTAGTCCAAATGTGGCCTCACCAGAGCAAAGTACATTCAGCCAGTACATGTAACAGATGTTTTTAGTGGTCACGCTGACATGCATTTCTTGTGCTATTCAGCAACTATACATCATTTCTTTGCACTTTTTTTCAGGATTGCATATTATTCCTACTGAAGAATATTACATATTTTTAAAGTTCTGCCTTTCTGCCTTACACAGCAAACTTAATGCTGCCCCTTCTATATATCCTCATCAGTTCAGCATTTATTTACCATGCTGCAATCAATGGCCTGCAAGCATAGCTGGTTACACTGACTGGTAAGGCATGCAATCTGCTTCGTCTGCTCCAGCTGCCATTTCTGGTGAAGCTCCACAGAGGATGACAGAAATGAGTACACAAAGACAGATGTTCTCCTCATTAGCAGTTCACTTGCCCTGTGAGGGCAGGGTCTATTTCACAGTTACGTGCCAGCATACAATGCTGGGAGAAAGGTTAGCATACACTGTTATGAAACCTTAGAGTTATCACAAACGGTTTTACCTTAGCACTGTATAAGGTAGATCTGAGATGTGGAGGAACCTGATTCAAAAGCATGTCATTCTGCAGGCGTTCCGAAATCTTACGCTGATAATCTCTCAAAGCAGCACTTCAGAGTGATGGAAAAGTACATGTTACTCTCACTGTGCTCAAGGTGCATAAATAAATGTAAGCGAAACTACAGTTTACACAAACTCAGGCAAATTAACAAAACATTTATAAAGAGTATCCAAGATAGCATCACACAAAAAGTACATTGTTGTTTTTTTTGCTGTTAAGGAATACGCTACAAAATTTTCAAACTAGAAAACATAAAAAGCTTTCTTCAACAGTTCTGTTTCCTATTTCAAAAAGCTATTCTGAAAGAACATAGTATTCATAGTGTTTAAATGATCTTCCATGCAGATTAAGCATTGTTCCCTTACCCGTGTGTTCTTTCAAGTTTTGAACTTTGTTCAAAAAAGTCACTTACGCCACGATGAACAGCTGTGAAAAGAGTTCACTCTAGAACTCTTACCAGCAGATCCAACCAACAACATACTACATAGCTACAAAATTCTGTTTATTGAAAAAGTAACTTAGTTTTGATCAATGGCAGTTGTGTGAATTGGGCTCTACAAATCAACCTCAGGCAAATTGAGAAAGGTTTGGAATCAGCTCTTAATTCCATCTTGGGCTCAAAGATAAACAAGGAGTAATACTTGATAAAATTACAAATAAATTGCATCACAGGAAAAAAGTGACTTTGAAAAGGGTCATTTGGTCCATCTCCTCTTTCAGTACAGAGTAGTTGCTATAATAGCTTGAAATTATTTCAGTTACAAGGTGGTTCTGAAGTATTTATTAGCCCCTCACATTCCTTACATAGCTAACATTTGATGTGTACACTGTTTCTTAACCTAAGCTTACGTTAAACAGGTGCTTTTTTTTTTTTAACCTTCTGTAGTTGATGTGAACTGGAAAAGCTTTTGTTTTGTCGGAATGTGGAACACACAGATGTTTCAGAACATCCTTTATTTGATGCATCTTGCAGTTAGAGAGAGACTAGTTTGCATAAAGAGAACCTTAGCAAATCAGCAGTAGTAACAGAGCTATAGTCAAATAAAGTGTGAAATGGACCCAGTGCTAATACATATAAAGAGGGTACTGAAAAACTTCTAGGCTTCCAGCTTCACCGACTCTAGAATGGAACGTGCTTCTTTATACTCTTCAGCTTCTTCCAACTCTTTTTCATTTTCCTGGAATTAAAAACAAAATTTTTAAGTACTTCAATAATAACTGACATTAGAATGGATTTAGGGAGGAAATATTGAAACACATGGGGCACTGAAAACACTAGTTTTACACAATTCATAGCACAGGCAATTTATTTTGTCCTATTTAAGGTGTGCTACAGTGGCTGTCGTGTGAGAAGATCTGACCTACGTATACCTTCATTTTATTCGCTGAAATAAAAAACAAGGGAAGTGCAACTGGAAGCAGTAACAGCAATATTCAGAACAAGAACACCATTAGAAAAAAAAAAACTTAAGGAGAGTTTCATAATTGAAAAAAAACAAAACTACACAGTTCATTTTAACAAAAGCTTTGAAGGTGTGCTAAGAAAATAAAACAACGTCTAAAAGACTTTCAAATTCTTAACAATAATAGTAAGTCTCCACATTTCTGATTTTAAGTTTGTGTAGCATGCATTATAGATCAATAGCATCGCTTCTGCATGCTGCTGAAGACTAGACAAGCTAACAGTCAAGTTACAAGTTGAATGACAGAAGATCCTAAATCTTGCCACATCTTGGGCATGCTACTCAAGGACAAGATGCTTTAAGCCTTCCATTCAGTAGTGATTTGCATTTTAGCTATCAAGTATGTTTGAAGCTTAATTTACAGCATGTATTTTAGCCTCACAGAAGCTTTTACCTGTGTAGTAGAATTATTGGTGAAAACTCAGCTTTTAAATAAACAGAGTAATATCCAAACCTAGTATATTTTCAGTCAGTCTATTTGTATATTATTTATTCCCAATGGTATTCGTATGTTAAAAGCACCCACCACAATAACAAATAGCTTAACCACAACTCAGGAACAACTCAGCTGTTTTGTTTCTTGTGTGTAGCAAAGTAAGAGCAGTAGACAAAATGTTCTGAATATTTCAGTTCACTACAGGACACACTAGTAAGACTACCTAAAGTGAGTGAACTCTTTTTTCCAGTTACGCAACAAGCACAGGAACTTGAGAGTTCATTCTAGCAGTTTAGTATTGAAGTGCATGTGGGGTATAAATCCAATTATAGACTGTCTCTACTATACTAATACACAGAATTTTCACAGATGGAAGGCCAAGTCTGCATAAGCAGATAGCTGAGTTGGACTGCAGAAGTACGTAACAGGATGCCAGTCTTTGGACCTGCAAAAAGTAATTTTCAATCCAGTTCTGTTCTGATGCAATTGCACTGCAGACAAGCATGTTTATCCATTTCCAACAAACAACGTCAGCATTTACTGGGAGGTGGTTTTTGATGCTGTACTTACTAGTAGTTGAGTGAGATCTGCATGTGCAATTTCTAATCTCCGCTGACAGTCTGGAATCATCATTCGAGACTCTTGTAAGATCTCAACCTGTGACAATTGGAAGCCAGTGAAATGAGAATGTACTTCACAGAGGAATGTTATTTTTAAAGATAACTCTTTAGTCTAAAAAATTAGTAGTCAAGTCATCATCCAGCATCATCCAGGGTCTTCAGAAGAGTTGTACCTATTTTCTGAATAAAAGACATTCACTTAGCATAATTGCTTGAAACTCAGTTAATTTACAGGACAATTTCATTTACTTTGTGCTTAATTAAATATAAAGTATTAAGCAGAAAGTAGTATTTATAATATTTTTCCCTTACAAAAAAGTACAACCTTGTAAGCTTTCCATACAACATTTGTTAAAAAAGGCTATTTAAAACAAACTTTAGCCTGCTGTCTTGAAGCAGCTTCATCCAAAATGGGATCAGCTGGTTATATAAATATCTCCTGCATCTTTTGGGTAATAAAGAAAAACAGTGTTCAGATAATACCACATAGAGATAATTACTGCATGAAAAAAGTTATTGAGTTATTGATCACATTGTGTGCACGCCGCAGGAGGCTCTGACTGAAAGACAAAGGTAAAGAAAAATGAAAAGCAAAGACCAGCAGGCTCATATTTTTGATGCTTATCATGCATAAAAAGTTATTACTTATCCTTGTGCTTCATTTTAGGAGAAAGATTATTCTCACCATGCACTTTGAACAAAATTACTAAACTGGCACCCCACTGAATCTGAACATCCTGCCTCCTCCTAAAGAAAATAACTTCAGATTTATATAAGGGAACATTTATTTCATGGACCGTTTCTGGATCTGAAATCTGACCATCGAGAAGAAAGGATGTGCAGAGTTGTTCAGTAGAGTTTAATCTGTTTAGAAATGAAAACCGGTTTAAATACGAACCCTTTTTCTGTGTTCATGATAACCTGCAATATAAGGTGTTCACATCAAACAGCTCATTATGTTCTATCACTGTTGTGCTCTAATTTCATTTCTGAAGGGAACCAAGGGAATATTGTCATCACACATTGGAAGAAAAGCTGTGGCTAAGAATGTTCTATGTGTACCAGAAGGCCTTTTGTTGTAAAACATAATCTTCATGTACTTAAGTGTCATATGTTTAAGCTTTTTGTTTTTCACTGATTTTTATAAAAAAACTTTTAAACTTCCTTTCAGAGAATTTAGGCTAAAATTAATAGAATCAGAATGGTTGTAAAGTCCACTAAGATCATCTAGTCCAACCACTATTAGCCCCTCACCACCACACCACTAAACTATGCCACTCAGTGCAATACCTACCCTTTTCTTAGAGACCTCCAGGAACAGTAATTCCACCACCCTCAGTTTTGGAGTGTATTAAAAATAAGATTAATCACTCTGCATATTACACTTAGAGCAGTAAACAAATAAAGGCTTGTAACTTCTACAGAGTTAGGTGTGTCAAACTACATGATGATGACTTTTGCTTTGTGTATCACAACTTGGTTCTCTAAAAAATGCCAATGGGAGTTAGAATGTCCACAGATGATATCCTTGGGATGACATTGCTAACTACTTATGTACTTTAAAGCTCCTAGGTAATGAGAAAAGTAGTGATTTATTTTATATATGCCACTCAGTAAGCAATCTGAAGGAAAAACATACAAATTTAGGATTTGTGTGCTGTAGTACTGGTTGCTGTAAGAGAAGAACAAAACTACTTCAATCGCTCAGTTTAAAAAGAGAATGACTGAGATCAAAAAGGCTACCTGAGTTTTATTTGCATTGCCTGCAGTTAGGCTATAAAATGAAATGGAAAAAAGATAAACATAGGAATTACATTCAGTAGGTGCAAAGGGTTGGAGAATGGAGCAGAGATTCCCCATTCCTTGTGGAACCAAGATTAATTACCGAACTACCTATGAAAGCTTTGATAACTTCTGCACGAACCACTTTTTTTTTTCCCAGTAATACTGATTGTCCTTGATAAATGTTTTACTGTTGCAAACATATAACAAAGCAGAGTAAAAAACTCAAATAATTAGATATGCCTACGTTAAAAAAACAGTGTTTGCTCTCTAACAGTTATGAAAATTAAAGAACAGCTCTCTCTTCTCCCCCAGCACACTCTAAAAGCTTTCTGACTCAACTCTAAGCAGTTTAAATTGTAAGCAGGTCACAACGGAAGTTTTTACATGAAACTGATCTAATTGCAGATAGCCATAAACATCTTCAAGGTTTCTGTGAATTACAGTACTATACTAAAGGTATCAAAAAATTGTAGTAACTGAAGTGCATTTAAATAAATTACTAAGGTAAAGCAATAAAGCACAAAAAAGTACAGATAGAAGCAAACTGAATATGTTGTCAATAAGTGCACATAAGACCAGAAGAGTTACTGTGACTACACTGAGAATGATGTCCCAGTTCCTTTAAGAGTATTGAAAAAGCCAGTTATATCTCTTCAAAGAACCACAGTTCCAATCCATTATTTTTCAGGACTGAGCTCATTTTTGCTAAGGGAGCAGATGTTTGGCATCTCACAAAGGAAAGTGGTCTGTTCAGATGCAACAGAGCTTTCTAACAGCTGGACTGCATGTAACCTATTTACTAAGCACGATGAGGATTTTTCATGAATTGGATCAAATGTCAAAGAACTGATGTGCGTAATGCACTATCAATAGCATTTAGTCTGTTTTCCATAAATTCCACATTGTAGTGACTCATAAAGCAGGACTAGAAACAGAAAAGCCAAAGAGATGCGAACACGCCAACCTATCATTTGATTGAGTGGAAAGAAACCATAACAGAAATCAGAAAAATATTTTACAGATTCAAAATAAGTACTCAGGCTACACATGCCTCCATAGAAAAAAAACTGAGACTTTAAACATAAGCTGAGGTTTTAAACATAAGCAGTTTTGATTTTAACAGGTCCCATAATAAAAGCTCAGTGGCAATATTTCAACTTATCTAGGCAGATTAGAACTATTTATGAGCATCAATACCAAGAATTCTGTAACAGGAAGCAGTTTTGCCCAGCGTAACTGACCTATATTGTCTATCTGGGACAGGTTTTATAAGCTTCAAGGAGGTTCGAGCAGCTTTTGTTTTTCTTTTAAGCTGACCCACAACAAAATAAGAGATTTAGACATATGCAGATCCACAAATAGTTTGAAAACAAGAAAACTCCTGTGGGGCTGTCATTCCTTGATCTTAGAAGAAAGATAATCTAATTAGCTATTAGGTCACAAGGTATGATGACAATAATGCTTGGTGTAACAGGAGTGACGTTCTAAACATACAAGGTTAAGAAAACCAGGAATGTGAATGAGTCATATACAGATATATATGAATTATATGAACACATGAATATGCATGTGTGCGTGTTCCTGTAAGTACTGCCTTATAATCATACAACCTTTGATTGCTGCACAAATGACAACAAATAATAACATACAATGGCTCAGGTTGGAAGGGACTTCTGGAGGTCATCTAGTCTAAACCCCCATTCAAGCAGAGTGGCCCAAAGAAGATTACAGCACTACCCAGACTTCTGAGTTTCTCCAAGGAGGAGACTCCACAATTTCTCCGGGCAACCAGTGCCAGTGCTCTACCACCTGAACAAATAAGAATTGCTCCCTGGTATTTATATTTAATTGCTCCACAGAACCTCTTATGTTCCAGTTTGTGCCTCCTGCTATTTGTCCTGGCACTGGGCACTGCTGAAAAGAGTCTTGTTCTGTCTTCTCTGTATCTTTCCCTAATGTATTTATTGACACTGGTGACATCATTCCAGACTTCCTCTTCTCTGTGCTGACTCTGGGAGAGTTTCAGCTCTCAGATTCTTGTCACAGGAGAGGAGCTCCAGGCTGTCTACCATCTTGAAGTCCCTTAGTTGGACTCCCTCCAGCATGCCCATGCCTCTCTTGTAACGGGGGCCCAGAACTAGACATACCACACTGGGTGAGCCGTGTCAGTGCACAGCAGAGGGGAGAGATCGCTTCCCTTAAGCTGCTGGCAGCGTTTTGCCTAATGCAGCTGAAGATACTATTAATCTTCTTAGTGGGAAAGGTATTTTTTCTTAACTGTTTCAGGAAATAGTCTGCTTTCCTCTCAACACGGCAAGAAAAATATTGCTGTTTCCATTAATATGTGAGGAAAAATGGTATTAGCAAGACTGTATGTACTCTGTCACACAGATATTAAATTCTTTGTCAAGTCCATTAGATTTTTAATTCATCTGGAAATGACACTGCATGAGAAGTAACAGTTATTTTACAGATCCAGATTAATTAAAAAAATGAAAATGTATTATCAATAAAAATGCTCACAGATAACAAAAACTCCAAAGGTGACCTACAGTCCCACTGAGAGGAAACAAAAGTAGATAATTCAGATATTTTGCATCTTCTCATGCCTTGATGTAAAAGCAGTAGGTAGAAAAGGATGGTATTTGTGTGTGGGGCGAAACAGCAGCCACAGAAACTCTGAAAACAGTTGATTTCTAAGATACGTCACTGGTAAGTGACAGCAGTGTAAAGTTTTTACTACAGATGAAGAAGAATAACAATATCCTATGTAAAGTTGTTATATATTAAAAACGATTACAACTGTGTAAGGTTTCACTACAAAACCAGCCAACCAACCAACAAAGCACATGCAGAAGTACAACTGCATTACTTCCTACAGTCAGAAGTATTAATGACCTTTTACAGAAACTAAATTCAGGATATGAATTTAGAAGAATACTTTGGAAGCCATTTAACATTTTCCCCAAATTTTCATATAAAATACTAGAGTTCAGTTTATAATGTCTGTTTTCAATTTAGCACCTTATTAAGATACATAAAACTTCATCCTTTTCTCTCATAACCTTTTTTTCCCCATAAAATACTGTTCTTTTATTACATTTTTTTTTCTGCCAATTTGACTCACATAAATAGTTCTATTCTTAAATTTTTCATCCACATCTGGACAAAAAA